CAATAATTCACACTTGAAACGCTTTGTTCTTTCTTCTGGAGTTGTTTTTTCACACGTCTTCCGAGGAAGTGCTAAGTGTTTTATGACAGCTGTTGCATGAAGCTAAGTGTCCCAGGCACCCCCCTGCTCCCTGTGCCTTGGGGGCACCGTCTCCCTGTGCTGCTCTGCGAACACCCATGGGGCACACTGGGGTGCAGAGCTGCACGCCAGCACTTCATCCCTGCTCCCCACCTGGCTGCCAGCAAGAGCTCATCAGGGAGCTCTCTGTGACAGCTCTAATGCTTGTCAGAACTTATTAACCCCAGGCTGGAGCGGTAAGTGGCAACCATGCGCTGCAGAATAGGTCCCCAGCCAGTGGACTAGACCCGAGGAGTCATCTGGTGGTGGTGAGGTGTTGTGCAAAAATCCCTCTTCTAGCCTTCAGCTGGGTTAGGCAGCATCAGCTGGGATTCAGCAAACATTCCTGAACTGTCTTTGTAATCACAAATGATAGACTTCTTAATTTGTTTTAGATAGTAGCTGGGATTGTGCCTACGTAGGTGCAGCAAATTCAGTAGCAGATGGACTGAGCCCAAAGAACAGCGGGGTGCCTGTGCCCAGGGCTGGGAGGAGGGAAAGTAGCTTGAGCCTTGAAAGAAACAGGGGTAAAGGCAGTTATGAGTAAAGTAAAAAATACATTTGGTTTAAAAAGAAGTAGAAATGGTGTACCTCCCTCTGCGGGTGAGGATTAAGAGCTCGCTGTCACTAACTTCCCTGACTCTCAGGTGAAGGTATTTAACCAACCTGTATTTAATTGGTATTTCATTTCATACAACTTTCGTAACATGCATCTCTGCTGACAGCCTTCAAAATACCTATTGCTTTAAATGTACATGGGGAGAATTACAAATCCCTTAGGATGCTACTCGGTACTTGGCAGTTTTTTCTGCTAGTACTGAGTCCTTGTGTTCTTTTTGTAAACTACCAAAGATCGTTTGCATAGGGTTGAAATTTTTGGCAATTGGAAAGCTTTGATAGAAATTGTGTTGTGTGGCTCCATAAGTTTGGTATCCACATATGTGGAGAGAGAGGCTTCAGCATGTTGATGTGGACATTTGTGTCAGAATTGTCTTTCAGTTCTTTCAGGTGGAAAAGAAGAGGCAGCAAGGTCAGTGTCTGAGTTAGTGTCCAGTTGTCCTCGCCAGCAGGAGGTTCTCCTAAAGCCACAGAGCTCTTACAGAGCCTTTGTTGGGCACTTGCAGCAGGAGCTAATGGACTGAAAGGGGGAAAAAAGCAAAAACAAACAAACAAAAAAGAGGCATTTGAGTAGGTCCTTAAAAGAAGTGAGAAGGAAATACATTCATGTATTTTTCCTTCTTCAATGACAGCCAAAAAGTTCAAAAAAGTCTTTAACCTGTTTGATTTTTTTTTCCTCCTCTTTTATTTCTTTAATTTAGGTCTTTTGGGAGATGCTCATTTTTGGGGAAAGATGTTCTGTAGGCAGAACTGAAGAAACAGACTGAAGGACAATCTAGCCAAGTGTCATTTCAAATGTATTAAATTACACGCACAGTAAATTTGCACAACACATGCCTATATATGTGTTTTTTCTAAAAGTGAAGGTCTCGAATTAAATTACCCTTTTTTAGAGGAGTGGATCTTTATATCTCACAAGTATTAGTAGTACTTAGTTTTGTCCTGTTAAATTATTCTTTTTTTCTTCGAGGCAGAGAATCTTGTTTCAGTTTTTTAATGTTGGACCATGCTGGTAGCCCAAAGCTGGGCTTTGCTGTGCCCCTCCATCTCGCTGGGTGCTGCAGCCTGGCCCAGGCCCGCTGTCCTACAGTCCCTGGATGTCTGTAGCCGACTGGCCCAGGTCTGCCACGTGAAAATAGGTCGTCCACATCAACAGGGAACTGGATTTGGTTAAGAAACTTAATCAGATGATGCTGTGCTCGAATAAAAGAGGTGTGAAAGATACAGCTCCTCTCCCGTGCGTGTAGACCCTGTCCCACACGGATGTGCGCAGGTAAACATTTGGGGATGGCCCATCGGTCACTGTGCTGGGCTTGCTGCCCTGTTCTGTCGCCTTCACTGCATTTCACCACCTTCGCTTAATTGTCTCGGAATAATCTCTTCACTGCTGCTTCAGCTGCTCTCCAGTAGCATCACATAAAAATCTCAGATGTCTCCCCTAGTCTGCTTGCTGGAGAAGCAGGGACGGCAGCCTGGAAAGAATAGCCAAGTGGCTGTTACACTGCACAGAATGCAGCATGCCTTGGGTAAACAGATCTGGAGAAACAACCATTGCTATTTTTTTTTTCCCCTCAAGTGTATATTGGTGATGGTATTTTACTACTACTTGCAAAGCATTAGACTCTTGAAATTCAAGTAAATGAAGTCATTAAGTGTGATTCTGAGAAACCCTTCCCAGAACTTTTTGGAAATGCTTCCAGCAGAATCGGCTTTGTTCCTGAGCAGAGCTGCTTCTCTCCAGCTATGCCGAATGCAGAAGAAAATCCCGATCTCTGAAGGATGTCCTGGGCCAGGTTCCAATCAGAGTTTGCTTTGGAAATCATATTTTTTCTTTGAGCCTGATAAATTGCTGAGATGGGTTGCTCAGTTGACTGCAAAGGAAGAGATGGGCTTGATGACCCCCAGGCACCCTGCTGGTGATGTACTCTCAAGTATTAACAATTACAGGGGTAGTCCTTGCTTGATGGAATTATTTAGTAGGAGAGAGGGGGAGAGAACCTCATCAAAGGCAGGGAAATCACCGAAACTTCTCTTTCGGCTGACTCATGAAACTTTAATAACGGAATTGATGAAACTTTAATAAGGAAGCCCTGCTAACTCTACTGCTTCAAGAGTTTTACTCGTCTGTGCTCATAGAAGACTTTGGCTGTCCAAGCAGAGAAGACTTCGGTTATTTCGCTGCTTTCCTGGGCTCTTTGGGGGATTTGCATCTTCTCCAAAATAAGAATCAATTGAGAAGTAAACAACCTTGCGGCTTGTGTACCCTGTAGGAAGCCAGTAGGAAAGTAATTTTTCCATGCAACATTAATTTTCATAAGAGTTACGGAAGAAGTTTTGTTGATTTCTTTCTCCCCACCTGAGGCTGGCTGGGATTAGCAGGGAGTGCGATTTCTTGGGGGTGAGGTGTTTAACCTCACCGATGCGCTGTGTTAGCTCTCAGGTGAAGAAACATGAAAACTGGTGAAACGGCTGGAGTAGCTGGACACTGCTAGTTTTGATGTTTCCGTTGTGACGTTGGCAGAATAATCTATTTTTCATCTATTGGCGGTTGAATGGTTAAACCTTTAATATTGTTTGTTACTGTGTGTGTTTTTGCCCGCATGCCTGTCCTATTAGTGCGTGTGCAGGTATTTTAAATGGGTTCTGCTTGGAATTGACAAATGCAGTAGCGATAATGGAATTTTTTCTGTGGTGCTTGCTGAGAACATTGACTTCTGTTCTGCTAAGAGAGAGAGCTTATTTTGTTGGCAATAATTATTACGAAGAGTTAGAAGCAAAGCTGCCAAAAGTTAGCACAATAGATAACCTCAAGAGCCCCAATTAGCTGTAACCAAAACATATTCCTTCCAAAACACTGACCCACTTTTCTCCCCCAGTGCAAAACAGCACTTGGCAGCTAAAATGCAAAAAGTTTCAGGTGTGTGAATGCAGAATGAAACCCTGGGTGAGGTAGCTGGGCTCCAGAGCTGGGCTGTGGCTTGCTGGGGGTGCGTCCACCACCTCTGACCATGGCAGCACCCTCCTTGCCCAAGGCACGATGCCGAGCTGCCTTCCCACCTTCTGATGTGTCCTGGGCCCATGCCTGGTGGGCAGCGGGTGCTCTGGGGCCAGGCAGAGGTACAAAAAATATCTGGGAACTGTCTGAAATGCCTGCTGTGATGTGTCTGAGCAAATAGTTTTTTTTTGCAGAGCTACAGTTGGCTCTTACTGCCTGAAGGATTTCCACATGAACTGCAAACATTTGCTAAATAACATAATAAGCTAATGATTGCTTAATTTTTGAATACATAGCTGAGTACAGAGGGAGTAACAGCTGGTGTTTGTCAAATTAGTTTCTTTCCTTAAGACTTTTTACTACTCATTTTCTTGTTTATTTAGCATACTTAGACAAGATTGAGCTCTAAAGGTCTACCCCTTAAGCTTGCTAGACTTTAAGGTAAATCTTACACAGTCAAAAGTGAATTTGAGCCTACGTTTGGTGGACAACTTCAGAGTTGCTCTGTAAGATGATCAGAATTTTCTGCATGGCGTGGTTTCAGGATGAATGTTACTATTAAATAAAACTTGCAGAACTCAGGTATTTTCTGGCATCTACCAGGACAACAGTCCAGCAGGTAGCACTAACACTGGATGCTGAATATAACAGGCAACACAAAGATTCAGATGTGGAATCAGATGGCTTATATTTAGGAAAAGTCAGAATCAGGCTGTTCGTGAAGAGCTGTGAAGCCATGGCAGATGAAGTAAATACCGGTCGATACACTCAACCTGTTGACTTCATTTATTATTGATTTTTTCATTTAAATTTAATAACTGCACAGCTTATGTATCACCCAATATTACTCTGCTTTGTCCCTCCAGGTTATAGTGGTATGTTCACGTGCATGGGGTTTAAATATCTGAAAATGCACTAACCACAGGCTCGGACTTGGAATAATGGCAGTGAGGTGGGCAAGGGCTCTGGTGCCTGTGGTGCTGCACGAGTCCCATAGCCTTGGACAAGGCATTGTATAAAGTAAAACTTATATTTAAATGGTGCCATTACGTGTGCTTTTTGCAGAAAATTCAAAGGTTTCAAAAGCAGTGTTAAAGTATTTTCAATGCCTAGCATCTCGTGAAGGTGGACTCGTGTAGTGGAAGCCAGGTGGAGGACGTTCCATGTCGTTGTGCCAACTTGTGTTAAAACTCAAAATGCTGAAGCCATTGCGACGTAAATCCACTGGTTTCCAATTGACAATAAAATGTCGTATCTCATTCTTCCCCAGGTGGTTGCCAGAATAGCCTTAAACCCGTCAGCAGCAATCAAACCCTCGCGTTGGCCGCAGCGGCCACTGCAGCGATGATGTCCGTGGAGTCTGAAGGCCCTCAAGGACCTTCACCTCCGAGCATCCAACCCTGCCACGTGCTGACCTTCTCACCTATCAAAATTCCAGTGTTGACTTCGCCTTTTCCAGGTAAGGCTATTCTTGTTGGCATTAAGAAGCAGCTTATTATGCTTTGCAATGGAGAGAGGCTTCCGTGTATGAGCCTTGTTGTGTGCTCTGAGAAATATTTACTGGTTACAAGTGTTTTTCTGGAATTCAAGTTATTTTTTCTGGTATTGTTTAGAGGTGCTTTCTGAAAGTGTGGTAATAGTGAGTTCAAAACTCTTATGCGTTAGTAGTTTTTAGATGTGCTTTGACATTTATGGGTATTACATGAATTGAGTTGCATCCTCTATCACATCTGTAAAACACGGCCTTAGTGGCACTCAGCCTTTGCAGCAGATCCTCAGGTTGTGGTGTTGGCAGCTGAAAGGTATCTGCCAGAAACAGAATCATGGAATATCCCAAGTTAAAGCGACCCAGTGGGAGCATCAAGTCCAACTCCTGGCTCCATGCAGGCCCACCCAGAACCAAACCCTACATCTGAGAGTGTTGTCCTAATGCTTCTTGTACTCCAGCAGCTCGGTGCTGTGCCCACATCCCTGGGAGCCTGTCCCAGTGCCCGACCCCCTTTCACTAACCCCCAGCCTGACCCTCCCCTGTCCCAGCTCCATGCCGTTCCCTCGGGTCCTGGCGCTGTCCCCAGAGAGCAGAGCTCAGCACCTGCCCCTCCGCTCCCCTCGTGAGGGAGCTGCAGGCTGCCAAGAACTGCAGATGTAGAACAATACTTAAGACAGGTAGGTGGTTTGGCTGTTCATAAAATATACTGGAGGAGTGGAGCCTTGGTTTTCTACATTCATGATAGGTTTGGATGTGGTGCTTACTGGAAAAGCTGTTTTATTAGCGTGACATCACTTAACAGCTTTCTGAACGTGATACCCAGGGAGATACTGTGGCATCCCTAACCTGCTGTGGAAGTCTGTCTGATTTAAGTCTTTGGGATAATATTTGAAACTATTTGTGCTTTGAATGCTTAAGTATATATTTTTGAAATACAGTATATCAGTTAAGTTTAAAATTTTATTTTTGGTGCATTTTGCATTTTTTTGATGCTTGAAGTGTACCACAGCAAAATACAGCGAGATTAAAATTTGGGGAAAGTGTGCGGTTATGATATTGGCTGTTCAGATGAGATCTTTGTATGAGCAATGTATCTCAGTGATTATTGTTCCTGTTGAGCAGTCATTAGAACCACTCAGATAAATGACTGCTGAGGAAGTACGGCAGCGTGGTTATCTTCAGGGAGCCTGAGGAGCAAACGTTCCCATCGGAATAAAGCCTGTCAGACTGTAGGACAGAGCTGTACTCTCTTCAGAATATTGTCCTGGTTTGAGCAGCCCAAAGGGGGGTTCCCTGCCGTGTGGTGTGGGACAAGGACTATGGGGTGGCTGTCTGGGGGAGCTGCCGCTGCTGGGTCTGGCTGGGCACCGACTGGTGGGAGAGGAGCGATTGCGTTGTGCATCCCTTGTTTTGGGTAGATGTTACATATCTATTTCTCTTCCTTCTCTGTCCCATTAAAGTGCCTTTATCCCACCCCCTGTTCTCTGGTTCCCTCCCCATCCCCGTGGGGATGTGAGCGAGTGGCTGTGGCGCTGAGCTGCCTCCAGGCTAAACCACGGCAGCCCTTTGGGTGGCTGTGGGTTGGGATAACAATGGATCTGACCAGATTTTAATATCTGTGGGTTGTTCAGGCTAGCACGGTCCTGTTGCCATGCCTCCTGCCTGTGTTTGCAGCTTTGTGTGAGGTTAACCAACTATTTAAGAATGCCACCCGGGGCAGGACGGCAGCGGGTGGCAAGGTGTGTGGGAGGACGTGGGCAGGTATTTATCGGGATTGTCGCCTCCCATGGCTTTGGAATTCAGCCCTGAACAAAGGCGGGATCCTAAAAAGATGACAGAATGTTCTAGAAAGGTATGCCCTGATCTGCTCTGGGGCTGGCTGTGCCCATCAGATGCTCTCAGGACCGTTCGGCTCCGTCAAGAGGAGGCAAATGCCTCTGGGCCTGGACCTCTAGTTCAGGCCCCGCAGCTGAACCAGGGCCAAGCTGTGCTGGTATCAGCCGTCCCTGTACTCGAGGAGAAGCAGTGGATTTGAAACCAGGTCCCTTAGTAAAAGAAGAAACGTGACTAAGAAGGGGAAGGAGGAAGAAGAGGACGAGGCAGGCCACTCCGAAGCAGGCCCATCGTGGGAGCAGGAGGAAGAGGCAGAGCTCATGAACGAGGCAGCACCTGCCTGAATCCCTGTCCCTGGGTCACCTACAAGGTATGCAGAAAGACTTCAGTCATCGTCCAGGGGAGCACACTGTCACCTGGCTGCTCCAGCGCTGGGTAGCGGGGCCCAGGCCTGGAATTAGGGGCAGGGAAGCCAGGCAGCTGGGGTCCCTCTCTAGGGCAGGGGGTTGGCAGAGCTGGTGGCACTTCCCACAGAGTTCTTTGACCCACAGAGATTATTGTGCCTCTTCGCAAGCGAGCATCTTGGAGGAGAATCCAGAGGGGAAGAAAATCGTTCTTCTTCCATGCCGAAAACCAAATGTGGATGCCAGCTGTGTTCTTGCTTGAATTGAGATGCTCGGGCGCTCTTGGAAGAAGCAGTCACAGGACTTGTGATTTACAGCTGCAGTAGCGAGCCCTGCGTGAGTTGTGTTAGGCGTGAGAGAATATTCTAATATTGTGGAGCTCTGCCGCGCAGATAACTGGCTCAGCGCTGCAATGATAAACATGTCAGGCCATGATAATTGTTGCTTTCCTTTCGAACGAGTGTGTGATAGGCTATCAACTATCATGCTTTGAGTGCCTGAGCAATCATCCTATTATCAATCTTTCACAGTAAACCACACACTTCTGGGTGTGTTCTCCTACAGAATATATAGCAGCTTTTTAGAAAAGAAAGCTTGGAAATGCCCAGTACATACAAAATAAACCGGAGATTCAGCTAACCATTTTTCTCTATTAATCATCATCTCTGGAGGGATGGCTATTTCCTTTGCAAAGGCTTACATAAAACATTTTTATGAAATTCCTTTTTATTGTGCTCGCAGTAAAGAGGACTCTAAGGTGTTCATTTTAAATTATCTTTGTCAACATGAGCTTGATGAAAAGCTTCCTGAACTTGTGCCGCGCTCGGTGTGTTCTGAATTGATGTCTGCCCTTGGGGCCGGGGTGGCTCTGAGGATGGGGCAGCGCCAGCTGACCAGGTCCATAAATACAGACATAGCAACCTGATTAAATAAATACGTGTGTGTTTGTGTGTGTGTTCATAAATGCTAATGAATGAATCAGAGTTTGGATAGGCATGAGTGAAAGGGCAAAGAGACACGCTGGCAAAAAGCTTTGCAGAAGCGTTAGAAATAAGCTCTGCTGTGCGTGCTGCAGCTGCCTCCTGTCTCCTCCGAAATACCCCGCAGCCAAGGTGGTGCAGCTAGATTTCACTTCCAGGACAGAAATGGTCAGCTGGCCAAAGGCGGCTCTCTGCTGTCAAACATAAATGTCTGCATTGCCCTGTGAGGTAATGACCGGGAAAGCCTCAAGAAAGAGCAATTTAATTTACAGATAATCCCAAGTGCATAGCGTACTTTGTAACCCTGTCTGCCTTTCTGTTAAAAACATCAGCGTGTTGACGTTTATTAGGGATGACTTACAGTTCTCCCAGAAAAATAAATCTTTGAGAGCACATAATCTGCGGGCCCTGGGGCAGCCGCGTTTTTCTTGTTTCATGTATGATTTATAAAGTAACGTGGTAATTAATGAACTTCCCATGTTCTCCTTGTCTAAAGCATGTGAGGCGATGTTCTGGTGGTATGAATGAACTTAAGGAACAAAGCAGAAGGTTAAATTATTCCCGCGTTAAACCTGCTTGGTGTCAGGCTGAGCAGGGTGCTTTGCTATCGGCCCTCAATGGATTACTCCAGAGGTGGGTGTTGCACCGCCATGTGTACATTGTATTTCCAGTCACTGCAGTTTGTTCGATCAATAAGCCTATAATTGACTGATTATCTATTTCTAGGGAGGTTTCCAGCCCAGCTGTGCTGCTCCCTGCTGGCCCCACAGGTGAGGCCCTGTTGGTAATGGGATGCTGGGGGCATCCCGGTCCTGCACTGCGCTGGCCTCCCCCAGGAGGGCTCCTGGAGCTTCAGGAGCACAGTGCTGGGGGAACACAAAGCATTCAGCCCCAGGGGCTGGTGCTGCTGCTTCTGGCACTTCTCATTCTGGTGTTCCGCTCTCCTTTTTTAAAAAAAATATATTTAGAATTTATATATACGGTGTGGAGGTACCTTGGGAAAGTCACGGAGCTTTGTCCCAGGCAGTGGCTGGGTAGGTTTCTGTGGCAGTGTGATACCTGAAATCTTTGCAGATGAGAACTGATGTCTGGCAGATTCGATTTCCAGTTTTTCTCTTCTTTGGCCCTTCTTGTGTTAAAGTTGCTGATCTTAAGCCAATCCAGATGAGCCCAGTGGTGGTCAGTTTATGAAACAAATGCGAGGAACCTGTACAGCTGCCAGATGCATTGCTCTGTTTGCTGTCTGCCAGAACGTAGAATTGAAAGATAATGTTAGCATTTCCCTACTACAAGCTGAGCGTGCTTTTTTTGGTGCCACTTTTGTTTACAAAAGTTCTTTTTTTTTCTTTTCCCTTGATATTTTTAAACAAAGCTAAACTCCTCAATTTTCCCTAGTTGTCAGGGCCTCTGTCTAGTCTCCCATATGCTCAGCCACAGCCTGCCCTTGGGTGTCTCGGCCAGGGCAGAGTTCCTGCTTTTAGGCTGGGAAGAAGAACCAGCATAAGGCAGGTACGGCACAGTTCTGTAGAGCAAGCTGGTAAAACAGTGAGAAGTGTCTGAGCACAGTGCTTGGTGAGCTGCTCGGTTCTGCTGAGCACGGGGGAAGTGGTTTAAGATCAATCAGCTAAAATTGAGAAAGGTCCAGAAATGCGATTGGAGCTTGGTTCTAGGTTTATTTCTTCCTTTCTTCCTTTTTCATCTGTTGGTGGTTCTGCTCCTACATGTGCCAGGGAAAATGTTCCATGTAATGTCA